CAAGTAATAAATGTGCCCTGCAGAGTCATGTGCTCAGCTACAACACTACTATGAACTGGATATTTGTGTCCCCCCAAAATTAATGTTGAAGTCCTAATCCCCAATGTGATGGAATTTTGAGATGGGCCTTTGGGGGAAGTATTTACTGGCAGGGCATGAGGGTGGAGCCTTCGCGAGTGGAATTGGTGCCCTCATAAAAAGAGAAAAAGAGATTTTCTCTCTCTCTCTCTCTCTCTCTCTCTCTCTCTCTCTCTCTCTCTCTCTCTCTCTCTTTCTCTCTTATGTGAGAATACAGCAAGAAGGTGATGGTCTTTAAATCAGCAAGAGAGCCCTCACCAAGAGCCTGACACTGACTTGGACTTCCAGTCTCAAAACTGTGAGAAATAAATGTTTGTTATTTAAACCACCCAATCTTTGGTATTCTTTTATAGCAGCATGAACTGACTAAGACGAACACTATACCTATAAAAGAAAGGGGAGGGGTAGAGAAGGGGGAAAGAATTTTGGTAGAAAACTAGCAGTCTCCACAAAGGGTCATGTTACAAGTAAGGAAAGAAAGGTGCAAAGAGCTAAAGCAGCTTGCTCAGGGTTTTATGGCTGGCAAGTGGGCCTGGAATGCAAGCAGTCCAATCACAGAGCCCATGTTCTTAAACACTGTATTGCCACTTTTCAAATGTTTAAACCAGACCTAAAATAAGAGAAGCATTTTACCTAGCAAACTGGCACAGATATGCTCATATCTATGAATGTTTATATGTGTGTGTGTGTGTGTGTGTGAGTTTCATAAAACAATCCTTACCCTTACAGTAGTCATGAACTCTGATATTTTAATTCTATATTATCTCATTTTTTAAATGTTAGATTCACAAAATTGATTTCATAGCCCTTCAGGGTGTTGTGATTGACAGTATGAAAAGTGCACTCAATTTTAATAGGAGAATTGGAAGTCATTGGATGGCTATCGGAGAGCTCCCAGTATGACCTATATGAGTAAAAAGGCTAGAGAATAAGGTTCAGAACACAGGTAGGCCTGGGGAATCCAGGAAACCCAAAATCACAGCTAACACCTTTTCATGGGAAGGGTCTATTAAGATGCACTTGAGCCAGAACCAGTTTGGCTCAGTGGAGAGAGCATCAGCCTGTGGACTGGGTTTGATTCCGGCCAAGGGTATGTTCTTGGGTTGCGGGCACATCCCCTATAGGAGGTGTGTAAGAGGCAGCTGATAGATGCTTCTCTCTCTTTGATGTTTCTAACTCTCTATCTCTATCCTTTCTTCTCTGTAAAAAAAAATTAATAAAATATATATATATTTTTAAAAAGATGCACTTGACACCACTGTTGATGTTACTTCTACCCTAGCAACTGGGAGCTGGACACGATGGCCATTTTCACTGAAATGAATTCCAGACCAGCTTGGCTCCTGTGTCTCACGCCGGAGTCCAAGTCCCCAGAGGAAGCAGCCAGTTGGCATTCTTTGGCCACAGACTTGTACCCAGGCTTTGAGGATCAGGCAGAGAAAAAATCTGGCTTTTCAGCTCACAAAACCATGGGAATTAGATTAGATTCTGGGCAGCTCAAAAATGAACAAACAAAAAGCTAATGTGCAATATACTCATAAGCCACTGGAAGAAGTATGGGTACAGCCACTTTGGGGAACAATTTGGCATTATTTTGTACAACTAAAATACATATTCTATGTCACAGAAACTCATTTTCTAGGCCTAGAGTCTGAATCAAAAGTCCTACACAATGTGCTTAAAGAGACTTGTCTAAGCATGTTCACAGAAGCATTGTAATATTGAAACCTGGAAATAACACAAAGACTTAGCATTAAAAAATGAATAGGACTGGGTCCATTGATCATATTTAGATCCCAGCACCAAACACTGCTGACAGATTATCAGAACCAAATAAATTCTTATCGAAATGAACTGTAACTAAATGAACTACCAATTGGAAATTATCTGGAGAGACCAGCCAGCGTTGCTCATTGGTTGAGCATTGATCTATGAACCAAGAGGTCAGTTTGATTCCCGGTCAGGGCACCTGCCTGCATTGCGGGCTCAGTCCCCAATGTGGAGTGTGCAGGAGGCAGCCAATCAATGTCTCTCTCTCTCCGTCCCCTCTTAAATTAATAAAAATATTTAAAAATAAATAAATGCTTTAAAAAATTATTCAGTGAATGAATGATATGCAAGGCCAAAACAATGTTGTGCTGTGCATGAGGGATGATTATGCCAAGGAGGTGATCAGCCTTTGGGTTTTTTAGGGCCCTGGGCCAGTCACCTCTGGCTTTGAGCATCACCAGTCCTATTTACTCCAGCATGCCATGGGAATATTACACTTTTCCACATGTGCCATGATAAAGCAATCCCTGGCAGATAGGATACACTCGGTACATGTCAGTTCCCTTTCTTTATGAAAGGAACATGGGGCCTTCAGGGTTTCTTATACCGAATTGTAGGGGATCTACAACGTTGTGGGCCTCGCCAGATCTGAGATCCACTCTTCTAAAATTGCAAAGGGTTTAACAATGGTCTCAACTCATCATCACACAAAGACCACCCAGAGTAGGAAATGTCCAAATACACAGCTGAAAGTCCAGCGGTCTAGAGTGAGTAGATGAGAGAATAAAATGTCCTTCCACCTTAGCTCCTGAACTTCACCTGAACTCAGGCCGTCTTTTTTCTCATTCCTTCTCAAAAGGATCTTTATGCCTCGTGTGTCATCACCCATGAAGTTGTTGAGAAGGAACGCTTCCCCAGGGTGGGTGTTGGCTGCCATGTGAAGTGTTCCAACATGACACCCCTGGCTCCTTGTACCCCCCTGCTCACTCCACGCCAAGGGAAGTGAGCTGATTGACAGGTTTGGAAAGAAAAAGTGAACACATGTGGTTTGTTTCCTTCCTCCTTTCTTCCTCTCAGGAGCTGACGTTCTACAGAAACAAAGTGCTCTTTACTCAGCATATTTCCTGGAAATTACCCCGCTACTCAGAAGGCCTGCTGTGGCCCAGGCATGCCAGTGACTAGAGGGGGAAACCCAAAACATTTGAAACTTTACAATAGGGCCTACCAGCTCCATACCAGCCACATTCTCCAATATCAGCTTTCCCAATAGGCCGTACAAGCAGCCAGGCCAGAGGGGGACCAAGCAGGTGGCTTAACAACATGGGTTTTGGGAAAGGTTGGACTTTGACTTCACAGGGATCTATCATTGCTGTTATTACCTTTTTAAAAAATATATATTTTTATTGATTTCAGAGAGAGGAAGGGAGAGAGAAACATCAATGATGAGAATCATTTGATCAGCTGCCTCCTGCACACCCCACACTGGAGATCAAGCCTGCAACCCAGGCATGTGCCCTGACCAGAAACCAAACCGTGACCTCTTGGTTCATAGGTCGACCTCAACCACTGAGCCACACCAGCAGGGCTATTGTCTTAATTTCTTAAACACACACACACACACACACACACACACACACACACACACACACTTGCATAAGACAGTAGTAAAAAGAAAACTTTAGGTTTTAGTTCATGGGTCTGAGTTCTAGGCCTCTCCCCACTTCCCCTGATGTCCTGATTTGTTGTGTATCCTTGAGAAATTTCTTAATTTCAGTGGAACTCACTTTGTTTCCCTTTTAAAAAATTATCAGTTATAAATGTATATTAAAGGGTAAACTAAATATTTGTGTTTAAAAACAGGAGTTCTGTGTACCTCTGCCACTCCTTTTCACCTCCACAGAGGCAACTAATTTCACCTCTTTTGCCTGTTTTATTTTTTACCTTCATATCTCACTTTGGTACTGCTACTTCTTGATTTTTTTCCTTTTTAGGCATAATCTGTTGACTTCCCTGTAGAGAAGATAGCATTTTGCTTCTATTCTTTCCTCCACCATCACTACACATGCATACCTTTTCCATATGGACTTTCTCTTATGAACTTTTGATCATGTGGAAATTTTCAATCAACAATCAATACATGCATACTGAATGCCTACATGAGTTAGGCATTCAGATAGGCTTCTAAGTGCTAACATAAGTAAGAAACCAGATGGCCAGGTCTAAAAAGTATGTACTCTTAAATACTATGCCACAATGCCTTTCATGATTTAGCTAAGGTACCAGAAGCACCTAAAATGCCTACCAAATCATCTAACACTAAATCGTGCTTAAATTTAACTATTACAGCCAAGTATGCTTTATTGAATTCAAATGCTAGGAAAATTGATTTACGGAAATCCAATTCTTTGCAGTCAATCATTCCTTATTCTTCAGATACTCTGTACAAATGAGAGTTTCCCTCATAATAAGGTCTTTGTCTTTTCACATCACTTTAACATATGTGTTCTGCATGCTCCAGAGACACAATATGAAATTAGGCAGAAGGAAAGAGACCATTTTTTAGGAAAACAAAACTTAAGCAAGTTCTACTTGCTACTTTAAAGTACTACATGAGAATAATAATGAAATTTCCCTGAAAATTGGGAGCTGGGGAGCTACTAAAAGGAAATCGACAATTTTTCTTAGCCAAACAAAAGTTTTCAGTTTATCATTTTCAAAAGAATTTCTTTCCCTGGGCAACTGACTGATGTTCTATATACACATTGATTTATCTTTCTCTCCCTCTCTCAAAATCAGTAACTATGTATCTCCTTTTGGTGCTTCTTTAGGATCTCATAGATGCAAATTTTAAATGTTCTTCAAAATAATGTATTGACAAGGAGTTTCCTCTTCCCTTTGAGCAAATTTACAAAAGTCAAAATGCACAGCACAAATGACTCTATTCAAGACGCATTTTTCAACCACTTACCATGCTGTTGCTTGCGATACAGCAGAACAAGTGGGTGGCAGGAACCCAGGAGGTCTGTCAGAGCTGTCCACTAACCCCGCTGAGCTGGCCCATCCTCAGTGGCACTCAGATGCCCGCATGGAAGTTCACACAGTGGAAGGCAACAGCCCTCCGGCCCCCATCAGACACAGAAAGCACAGATTCGATTTCGAGGCGATTTCACTTAGGTGGAACAGGTCTTCTCAAACCATATTGTTTTTCTCTTAAGGCAAGCTGAATTTCCTTTTCTGCATTTTCCTGACTTTTCAGGTTATTTAAGCGCTTCGTTTCAAAATCCCTTTCAATTCTGATATCTAAAAAATAAAAATACATGAAGAAATCCAAGGACAGTTTTTTACCAGGTATAATGTAGTCAAAACTGAGTATTTACCATCCAGCACAATTCACATTCTTGAATACTAAACAAGAAGAGAGGGGCTACACATACAGAGAGGGGTATGGGTGCAAATGAACATATTTAAACATGTATCTGATAATAAACAAAAGTCAAAAATTGCCATTTGTTAAAGTAGTGCATACCTTCTGCAGAAGGAAGCAGAAGGTCCTTCTTGATTTTAGACTTTTTGAGGTACACAGGACCACCATATGTAATTTCTTCCAAGAAAGGAAATTTGATTTTGCTTAGTTTTGTGTACAAGGTCTCTGTAAGCAGTGCAAGATCCCAAGGTTGCTGTCTGGAGCAAAAATTCATTAGTTCACTTAACAAATATTTATTAAGCATCTACTATGGGATATTTAGAAGACATCTAACTAATTCTCAGCTCTGATTTCCACTATACATTTTGGTTTACTGCGGGGGGGAGGGGGGAATGGGGGTCGGGACTTGCAAATCTAGCCAAGAGAAGTAGCTTTCTAATTGATATCTTTATATCTTTAAATAATGTAAAGATTTATTGAAAATTTTCCATAAATTACAATGACAGGAACTTTTATTCACAACATAGCTCCCGGGAGGCAATCCAATCTTCCCACAGCTTTTACAAGGATGTAGTCTTTTATGGCTGATCAGAAATAGGCCACAATAGGGGAGGAATAGAGGGAATAGTGGTGTACTGAGCAGCGTGCTTGGCATAGACTAAGACTTTGAGCGTGTGACCTTATTTTAATCCTACGGCCACTACACCGGTAGACAGGGAAATGGAGACTCACTAGTTCATTAATTAAGAATCAGAGCTGGTACCTAGCCTAGGTATATTTATTTTGAAGCACTGGTACCAAGAGAATCCTTAGAAAACTGGAGGAGATGAAACCCTAAACTACGATACTTAAAATAATCACTATGAATGTGAAAATGTTTTTATGTATTCTACTTAGGAAATGTAAAATATCAGCAACAGGCAAGGAGCTGTTTCTCATCTGCAGTCAATGTGAGCTCATATGCGTGAGGGAAAGGACCAGCCTGCTCTGGTGGGAGGGGAGGGAAGGAGAGCATTACACACGGGACCTGCTTGGTTTTCCACTCCAGCTTCCTTGCTATTTTACCATCTAACTTTAAGGAGTGACTTGAAGTCTGCAATTGTTATAGATGGGCTTCAACAAGTGCACTGAGACATCTATAAGAATGCTCACTGACACAGTTTGTCAAAAAACAACAATCTAGAAATAGCTTTAATGTCTATCAACGAGCCCGGTTAAAAACATGTGGTGCATACATGTCGTGAAAGAGTAAGGTTTGTCCTTACATGCTGATTTGGAAAGATGAGCAATAAATCAGCTAACATTTATCTAGCACTTACTACAAGCTAGGTATTGCTTAAATCAGTGTACTCGCATGAACTCATTTAATTACCAGAGTAACCCTACTAAATAGGCAGGTGCTGTTATTATCCTCATTTTACACATTAGGGAACAAGAACAGAGAATGATTTGCCCGGGGTCATAAGGCCATAGGTCTTGAGCTGGAATTTGAACAAGGGAAGTTGGACTTTAGAATCTGTGCTCTTAATCACTGGGCTTTACAAGATCTAGTGGGGGAGGGAGCAAAGTTCAATAGAATCCCATGTATAAGGACAGGTGTGTGCATATATGTGTGTATGTGTATCTTGTACAACAGACAAATTCTAGCACGATCTACAAAGGTATTTTAAGTTGGTGGGCAACAGCTGAAAGCTTTAGAGCACATGTGTCAAACACAAGGCCCACGGGCCAAATCCGTCCCGCCAGGCCTTGCAATGTGGCCCGCACCGCGCTGTCATCACTGCACTCCGCTGCGTTTCCATCACAATGACAGTTTATGACTGTTCAGTAAACCATTCGGCCCGCGATTTAGGCTGGATTTTAGATTTTGGCCCCTTCTCTGATTGAGTTCGACACCCCTACTTTAGAGTAAGGAGACTTCTAACGCTGTCCCTTGGATCCAACCATTTTTCTGAACCTCAGTTTTCTTATTTGAAAGTATTCTTTTGTTGTCAACATCAAGTAACAACCACGGAACAGAGTGGGAAATTCAGAGGGAAGGCAGGGAAGGGTGTGTAGGTAAGAGGTACTCAACCAAGAATCTTATATGCATATAAGCATGGCCATGGACATAGACAATGGGGCAGTGAGGGCCTGGTGTGAGGGAGGGGGGCTTGGAAGGGGTAAGGAGGGTAAAAGTATATGTAATACTTTAAACCAGTGTTTCCCAAACTTTTGACATATGTGTACCCCTTCTATAATGTTTATTGATTATCCCCTGAGTATCCCCTCGTATTCATGAGAACATAGTATTAGGTGCAGCTAAGCACGGTGCAGTGCATATCCCCACCAAACTCCGGTGCAATGCGTACCCCCACCAAACTCTTCCCATACCCCTGGGGGTACGCGTACCACACTTTGGGAAACACTGCTTTAAACTATAACTATTTTTAAAAGATCAAGTAATATCATTTATAAACTCCTGTCAAAGCAGCTCCCTAGAAACAAAACAAAACAAAAAAAAACACAAACAAACAAAAACAAAACAGTATCCAGACACTCGAAAATGCCTCATACAGCTAGTATCTATTTCATGGGGGACAGAAGGGTGACCAGTATTTGTATTTAGCAGGGGCACACACCCCCAACTCCAAGGATGCCCACCCCCAATAAAAACTCTTACACTGTAAAACTGCCTCGCAGGACATTTTTCACTGTGTTCTTCCTTGGCAGCCCGTAAGCCATGGTCCACCGTGAGAGCCTAATTTCCCCGCACAGGTGCCTTTTGTGGTAGTGACGCGGGATGGTCTGCTCCCTGGGCCTGAAACGGTTGCAACACCCCGTTTAATGAATGGCTTTCAGGTGACTGTTTTTTAATGTCCAAATCATAAAAGGATTCAGAAAAAGCACTCCTGACTGCCAGGACACCCCTAATAAAAAGTTCAATGAAGCCCAACTCCTAAGGAAGAACGGTGTTCGTTGGGCTCCAGGAACTCGTTTCATCACTTCTTGTCGTGCGAGGACAACATGTCAGGTGGACAGCGTCCTTTTTCCTTCCTCATGGCATTTAAGTCACTGCCGGAGCCTGCCCAACTGGCTCAGACCACAACACCAGAAATGCTGCAGGCGGTGGCAATTCTATAGGATAAAAGGACCGGCCTGTTCCCTGCCGCAGCCCTTGGGAAAAATCAGGGTTCGGGTCAGGATACAAGCCCCACTGCGGCTCGATACCCAGTAGGAGGCGTGTGGGGGGAAGCTGGTCAATGATTCTCTCTCATCCTGAATATTTCTGTCACTCTCTTTTCCTCTCTGAAATCAATAAACATTCATATTTTGTTAAAGTGTCCAACGCTGCCAAAACCGGTTTGGCTCAGTGGTAGAGCGTCCGCCTGCGGATTGAAAGGTCCCGGGTTCGATTCCGGTCAAGGGCATGTACCTTGGTTGTGGGCACATCCCCAGTAGAGGGTGTGCAGGAGGCAGCTGGTCGATGTTCCTCTCTCATCGATGTTTCTGGCTCTCTGTCCCTCTCTCTTTCTCTCTGTAAAAAAATCAATAAAATATATATAATAAAGAAGAAGAAGGGAGAAGGGAGAAGGGAGAAGGGAGAAGGGAGAAGGGAGAAGGGAGAAGGGAGAAGGGAGAAGGGAGAAGGGAGAAGGGAGAAGGAGAAGGAGAAGAAGAAGAAGTGTCCAACTTTGCCGGACCCGCGTGGCTCAAAGGCTGAGCGTCCACCTGTGAACCAGATCGGGGTTCGGTTCCAGGCCAGGGCACAAGCCCTCGCTGCCACTTGCCCTCCCTCGAAAGGCTCCTCCCCGCACCCGCTCCCTCCCCGCACCCGCCCCCCACCAGCCCCCCTTCCCCTGGCGAACCAGCTCCCAGGGGCGCCCGCCTTGAGGCCTCGGTCGCCCTGGGCCCTGGGCGAAGTGGCGGGTCCTCCCTGCACCTCCCTCCCTCCCTCCCTCTCTCCCTCCGCACCCCGTTCCCACGCCCGCGCCCCGCTCCTCCCGCCTCCCGCAGGCTCCGGGATGGGTCCCCAAAAGGGGCGCCAGCGCCTGCTTACCAGCTCCCGGCGGTCCCTGAGGGTCACGGTCCCCAGGGGACGGACGGACGTTTGGACGGAGTGCAGGGCTCTCCCCTAACCCGGCGTCTCCTTCCTGCTCGAGTCGGAAGCTTTGGGGGGGTAGGGGGGGGAGCCCGCCCACGGAGGGGGGGCCGGGGCCGGCCCGGGACGCGCGCCCCGCGGGGTCCCCTTGGGGCGGGACCTCGGGGTCCCCGGGCGGGACTGCGCGCTGAAGGAACAAAGCCTCAGCGAAAGGCGGCTGCACGGCGGGCCTTTCCCTACAACCAGGCTCGCGTCCGGAGACCGTGCGAAGCGACTTCTTGGCGGCGACTTCGTTTCGGTACCATTGGGGGGGGGGGCCCCCTCGGGAGGAAATGCTTTCCATTCTGACGTGAGCGAGCCCCACTGTGACGCCGCAGGCAATAGACGGGGCCCAGGGCCCGGGGGACCCAGGCGGCTGTCAAGGCTCCAGCTGGGACCCCCCGCGCGACGCATGGGGAAGCCTGGCCGGTTTCTGAGGTCACGACACTGCGGTGCTTCCGAGGATTGGCTTCTTGAATGCATCGGATGCCCAGCACCACGTCAAATCAAAGTTCTGTGCCTTTCCGCTTTGCGGGAGGGGTTTGGAGTCAGAATTGGCTGGGAATCCTAGTTCTGCCACTCCACTTGCTGCCTGTAAGGTCTCCCCTACAATTCCCTAAGCCTCAGTTTCTTCTCTCAAACTGTGTACCTTGTAACACTCTATATCTCTTAACAGGGTTGTTGTGAGGATTCAAGATCGGGTGTCAATAAACTCTCCGGACCTAATTATCTAATTTTGAGCCTTGTCACAGTTTTATGAGCGAGGCAAGGGATACTTAGGACTCCAGTTTTATAGAGGAAGGATGAGCTGAGAGGTTAGAGGGCTGCTCAGGGTCACAGGGCTTGAGAGTTGCAGGGCCAACTTATAAAGCTAAACAGCAGTGCCCTTTTGACCCTGACAGCTAACTCTAATAGTAGCTCCTGCCTAATTAGTCTCCTGTGGTTGTTGACCTTTAGAAAGAGCTTTTGCCCCTCCCAGGGACGAGAAGGTGAGGACTTGCTTGCTCTTGAACTTTATATTTATATGTATTTGGTTTCAGAGAGGAGGGGAGAGAGGGAGAGAGAAACATCAGTGATGAAAGGGAATCATTGACCAGCTGCCTCCTGCACATCCCCTGTTGCGGATCGAACTTGGGACCCTTCAGTCCTCAGGCAGAGGCCCTATCCACTGGCCAAACGTGTTAGGACGCTCTTGAACATTTCCATTCTACTACCAAGGGGAAAGGAGCAGTGAGGAGTGAACGTGAGAGTAGTCTTTAACACAAAGAACACTGAGGCCATTGATGGATTGTGAAATCAATGCAGTAGATTTTGATCTTAGCCAATAGAGCTTCAATTTTTAAAATAAATTAGTATAGAATGGGGCTTGGGGGTGAGAGTCCATCACGAAAATAAGTGTAAGTATTGTTTTATGGAACTTTCATTTCTGTTATGCATATGGACGTGTGTGTGTGTGTGTGTGTGTGTGTGTGTGCAGTTTCAGTACAAAGTATAGTTCTGACAGTAGGTCTAAAAAGTTTGAAAGCCACTGTGTAAGATCATTTCATTTTAGAGATGAAAAGCAGAGACCAAGTTGCTGAGGTCACTAACAGGTGTGGCGGAAACAGGCAAGGGATACTTATGACTCCAGTTTCTCTCTGTTTCTCTCTTTCTCTCCCTCTCCCTTCCTCTCTCTCTAGAGTTGAAGTGGCGCATGGATCCACGGCCTGGCCTCTTTCTACAGATGAAGAAATTAAAACCCAGAGAGAGGATGGGATGGACCCAAGACCACACTGCGAGATATCAGACAGCTTGTTTCTACATGTGGGAACTCCAATTATATGTACACTAGAGGCCTGGTGCATGGAAATTCATGCACTGGAGGTGGGGGGAGTCCCTCAGCCAGGCCTGTGCCCTCTCACAGACTGGGACCTCTCAGGGGATATCCACCTGGCAGTCAGACATCCCTCTAAAAGCCTGGGAGCCCTCAGGGGATGTCTGACAGATGGCTTAGGCCCACACCCCAGGCCTAAGCTGTCAGTTGGACATTCTTAGCATTGCCACAAAGCGAACCTGGCTTCTGGCTGAGCAGTGACACCCCCTCTACCCCCCCCACCCCCGGCCACCTGGAAGTGCACTGACCACCAGCAGGCAGCTCCACTGTTAGGGTCAATTTGCGTATTACCCTTCCATTATATAGAATAATCCTGACCATTGTGTTTAGTTATCTCCTATGTGACTCACTTTGAGCAAATATGGTGGGAGTTACGGAGTATGGCTTCTGAGACAAGATCACAAAAGGTATGGGGGCTTCCTTCTTCAATCTCCATTGTCTCGTTTGTCCTGGAGGAGGTCAGCTGCCATTTGAGAAGACCCCCTTATGGAGAGATTCATGTGCAAAGGAGTTGAGGTCTCTAGCCAACAACTGGTGAAGAACAGAGGCCTCTTGCCAGGAACCATGAGTTGGATCTTGGGCGCAGACCAGGGCTTGGTCAAACCTTCAGGTGACTGAAGCTCCAGTTTCTACACTGAAACTTCATGAGAGGCACTGAGCCGGCCCATCTAGCTAAGCTGCTCTAAGATTCCTGGCCCTCAAAAAATAAAAGATAATATAATAGTTGTTTATGGTTTTAAGGCCCTACTCTTTGGGGCATTTGTAACAGAATAGGAATTACCCAATATACCATTGTGTCTTAGTGTAGAAAGAATATTTTGCCTAGAGGAAAATAGCAATGTTTTTATAATTTTGAGATTAGTAGTTTGGTTAAAGTGAACACTAGAGCTTCAATGTTGCCCTGGGCAGTGTGACTCAATTGGTTGGACATCACCCCATATACCAAAAAGTTGCTGGTTCTATGCCTGGGTTGTGGTCCTTATCCCTGGGAGCATGCAGGAGCCAGATGATCCATGTTTCTCTCATACCGATGTTTCTCTCCCTCTCTTTTCCTCTCTCTCTCTAAAAATGAATTTTTAAAATTATTTTTAAAAACATATAATTTACAGCCAAAATCAGTTTGGCTCAGTGGATAGAGCATCAGTCTGTGGACTGAAAGGCCCTAGGTTTGATTCTGGTCAAGGGCATGTACATTGGTTGCGGGCACATCCCCGGTAGGGGGTGTGCAGGAGGCAGCTGTTCGATGACACTCTCTCATCAATGTTTCTAGCTCTCTATCCCTCTCCCTTCCTTTCTGCGAAAAATCAATATATATATATATTAAAAACATATATTTTACATTTTCTGGGCAGCAGCTCATTTTACTAAATCTCATCTATAACCAGTTAAGATCCTTAAAAGCTGTCAACAGAGAAAATATGATAACTACCAGTGTCCCACATGTATTTAAAAACAAAATAACACTAAAACCTTTAGAAAGTAGAATAATATCCAATAAAGACCTGGTTTTCCCCCTCATAATTACTATTTCAGTACTTACTTCTGAAATACCAAGTTCCTTCTAAACCTACCTAAACCTCTCCTTTCCTTCCCTTCCTCATTATCCCTTTTCTCCTCCTCCTCCTTCTCTTCTTCCTCTCCTCCTCCTCCTCCTCCTCCTCCTCCTCCTCCTCCTCCTCCTCCTCCTCTTCTTCTTCTTCTTCTTCTCTCTCTCTCTCTCTCTCTCTCTCTCTCTCTCTCTCTCTCTCTCTCTCTCTCTCTCTCTCTCTCTCTCTCTTTCTTTCTCTCTCTCCCCCCCCCTCCCTTTCTCTCTCCATGATCTATCTCCCTCTGCTTTTCTGGTGACTTACACATACATATCTTCCTACTAAGTAACCCTTCACTGATCTCATCCATTCCACAGTTAACAATTTACATTTAAACCGGTTAAGAGAACATTGCTGCCACCTACTGTTCAAACTAAGAAGAAATGCACAAAACATAAGAAGAACCAATATAAAAACAGTACTGGTGTGATTAACATTTACTATGCTTTGGGCCCTGTTCAAGGTACTTCTTACACATTATCACATTTACCTATCACGAAATAGATGCTATTAGTTAGTGATGTGATTTCAGGGATATTAGGGAAGAAAAAACAGGCATGTCTAGTGTGAATAACTTTATCAGGCTCATAGAGTTTAACCCAAGACTATCTGATTCTGGTATTGTGTTCTCACTACAACATTATTCACTCTCTCATAATTGTAATTATTGTAAGGTTTTAGAGTATATGTTTGTTAATATTTTTGCAACAGTCCATTTGAAATATTTTGTTAATTTCTCTCATGTTTATAAATATTCAAAGAATGATGTTTTGTTTCTTTTAACTTGTTTGTTAAATCACAAATGTAGCCTAAACTTTTGTGTGTTTGTTAATCCTCATCTGAGGATATTGTTTCCATTGATTTATAGAAAGAGTAGGGGGGATAGAAAGAGAGAGAGAGAAACATCGATATGAGAGACATACATCAATTGGTTGCCTCCCACACTCACCTCAACAAGGGCTGGCTGGGGATGGAACCTGCAGCCCAGGTATGTGACCTTTACCAGAAATTGAACCTGAGACTCTTTGGTTCTTACCCAATGCTCTAACCACTGAGAACCACTGGCCAGAGTAGCCTACACTTTTCTCATGGCTTCATTCAAAACTTCTCTAGTAATGATTCTAACTCTAGGATAATGATAAAGCACTTCACCTGCAAAAACTTTAAAATCACCAAAAAACTTAACACCGAAAGCCCTAAATAGCACCTTCTAATTCTCTCACATCTCTAACCAGTTTTTTGCTAATGAACTGAACTGGGAATGGTGAAGGCCTGAGCGAGGGGTGGTAGCAGGCTAGAAGGGGTCAATTGGGAGAAAAGGGGGACATATGTAATACTTTCAACAAGAAAGAAAGAAAGAGAGAGAGAGAGAGAGAGAGAGAGAGAGAGAGAGAGAGAGGGAAAGATTGGAGATTTTAGGAGTGTTTTGAGGGGAGGATCTCAACAGAATATTCATCAGCTTTCCAGGTGTGTCCTTTCAGGGTTGTGGTCTCCATTGATTGGTCAGCACTACCGCTGGGGTCATTAGTCAACATAGCTGGTCCTGATGTCACCCATGGGGTCAGTTGTCTGG